TATCTAATTATCTAATTTCCATTATTATTAATATTTTTATTATTTTTTTTTTTTTTTTTTTTTTTTTTTTTTTTTTTTTTTTTTTTTTTTTTTATATATTTATAAAATAAAAGGTTGCTGCATAGCATCATAATCGCCCCTAAACGGCTAAAATAATATTGGCGTTTTTATCGACACGGCGAAGAAAGGGCTTTACGGTTGTAATATTGTTATGGTAAAATATAAAAACGGGTATTATACTCGAGGGATCCGAGGATCCGACGCGATTTCCGTTAATTGCAAGGGTTAGGGTATTTGTCGGATCAAGCGGAATAATTACTATTATTATTATTTTGTTTTTTTGTTTTTTTACGCGAAATTGATCGAATTCAAATAATATCGACAAACTCGGCGGTGCGTTTTTGGGAGTGGATTTTCAAGGTACGGATAAAATCGTTCGGTCGTATGTTTTTTTTTTTTTGAACTTGAAGACCAGTCATCCAAACATAACCGCGTACATTTATCCGATGATCCCCTGCCAGTTCATATCGTTCTATAAATGTCCGTATTTCCACCACATCTCTCTGTACACACACTTCCCAACGGAAATACAGTTTTCTCATAGAGTCTTTTATCTTTCTTCATTCATGTCCTCGTGTAGCATCAGGCCTACCAAATTTTCCTCAACATATACGTTCATCTACATATTACGGTTGTCGTATTTTTTCAATAGATTCCGCTATGTTAAGTCTCTTAGTTCTGCGTTAAGTCACTTCGGCCATTTCAATGTTTTTGTGTCGTTTTTTCCCTTATACTTAGTACGCAATTTGTGGCAATTGGGTTTAAATTGTAGTTAAAAAACAAAAACAAAATTTAAAGAGAATATTATTTTAGAAACCTGCACGTAATTGTTTTTTTTTTCTTTTAATTGTTTTAAAAAAAGTTTCGCCCGTAGCGAGGGATCTACTGGTGCCCAAATTAATAATGATAATAATACGATTAAGTAATATTTAAATTAAGAATTATAATAATTTTAATGTTACAAATAATATATATAAATAGCCGGTACTCGTACAGTATCTTCTTGTCAACCAAATCAACAACCATAACTACGTAAATACTATAAACTGTACGGAAGCATTGGAAATATAATGAGGTTCTAAATTCATGTTTGAAAACCTATAACCAAAACGCGGCAATAAAATGAAACGAATAGTGATCGTAAACAAAAATAGTTTCCAAAATACATTTAAAGAAGTTTAACGCGTATAATAAATTCGTGATAATTTACAACTTACAAAGTGCATTTAAACTATTAATAGGATTATACGTCATTATACTTTTTTTGCGAGCTAAAATCGTTTTAAAAACTTATTAGCTATTTAAATGTTTTATTTTTTTTTTTTTTAATTATTATTATTATTATTTGAGTTTATTAATAATTCGACACGGACATAATGCGATGGGCGATGAAAAGGAAATTTAAATCTTGTCGCGTGTACACCGCCCGTACACCCGTAAGAGAACGAAATTTCTAAAATGTCCAAAGTAATCGTAGTGTTTTTTTTTTAATACATTTTAACGTCAAGCACACTAAAACCGTTTTCTCGGATCGTCGATTTCCCGTGTGCTGGCCGAGATCCGAAATTCGGTGCGCCGCCGCACGTCCGGACTCCTGTGACAATATTGCCGTACGACTATTAATATCGGGGGACCGTCCGTCATAGCGCGGAATATTATGCTCGGCCGTTTAATAAATTACAATAACCATTATGGCCGTCCCGGAAAGTTGGAAATTGATATACTTAAACACGCGAAACTCCGGCGCGCGCAACAACATAATTTGTTAGACTTAGCGAGAAGGGCACGATTATACTATATCGGACCCGCAAGTCCGCTATGCTATTACCGTGCCGTTCATGAATAATGTACAGGGTGGATTATATTATTATCACTTTTGTTATCGATTATCTGTCTACGAAGATTTCGCGCGGGGTGACATATTACGTGGGTATAAATATGTCCGTTGTCCGTATACCAACATCGCAATATAAACGTGATACTTTAGGTAATATTTTTAAACTATCATTAGAATAGGGAATGTATTATTTTGTTAAAAATAAAAAAAAAAAACATAAATTCAATCGTAGGTGTGTTTATTTGATTTGAATATTTATTTTACCTAACAGAAGAGACTGTTTAATTGCAGACCTATCAACGCACATCATATAATATGATCGAAATGAGGCTCCACAAAAAAAAAAATAAAATCCTCCGCGAGGGGCTTCACTCCCCAAGCTCCTTATATCACTTTTCAAACATAACTCGATAATAGGTAATTTACCAAACAAAAAAATATCTCATTCTGGTGATGGGTGCGGCAACTGTTGTATGTGAGTAGTGAGGAAGGTAGGTATGTTTTTCTACGTTTTTTCTCATTTAAGTGCTTTTAATTAAAAAAATAGCGTTAAAAATCAAAAATTTACCCCTTTGAGACAACTTGAGCTTTCAGAAAAGTTGCTCGTAAAAATATGCACGTACATATCGGAACAAGTTTACTACGAAAAAAACTTATCCACAGGCTAGAACAGAGAAAAATAAAAAAGAAGAAAAAAACATCAATTTAAAACCAATAGCTCCCTCGCCACGTTCGGAATCTGAAAAAAAAAACAATAAAAAAATTCGACCAATAATACTCTTGTAGGCTACCATTTCGCTTACATTAATATTAAATTCTAAAAAAAAAAAAAAAAAAATGATTACTACACTGAATACTGAATAAGTTGATAATACATGTTATTGAAAATAATTCAAAAAAGGACGGCACGTTCTTTTTTTAACAAGTCAACAAGTCGTATCTAAAAAAAAAATAAAATGAAAGATAAATAGTGAAGGGGATCGTTACACTCTAATCCAAGCTACTGTTTCAACCCTATTGGGTTTAAATGGAACGTTGTAGTTTGTGTATGTAGACGACGGACGATTTTGGTTTTTGCATATACTCGTATGCAGCTATGAAACTAGTCACCGTGTATGTAGTCGACTTTAAGTCGTAAGCATAACTAGATCACCGACTATGGCGGTGCTAAAATTATAAACACATCAAAAACCAATGGGAACTATTCCCTCAAAATCCCCTTCATACAACAACCCTTACAATATGCAACCGCACGTTTCGTTAATAATATTTTGTACACACAAATTTATCGTAATTGTATTTTTAACGTTATCACATACGCATTGTCTGTAGGAAATCTGTAATTTTTTTCTGCTCATTAATTACGAAATGCACGGATAAAATATTTAACCGTTACTATGGAAAGCTTATTCGGTTTTATCAAAGGTACTAATTGTAAACTCGAGGGTGCTAAAGACCGTCCAGCATTCCTCTAGTAACGCTTATGCTTCTAGGGACGAATGAAAGTAGTGTAATTTCGCTGAGACGTCATATTATAGTAAATTTTAGTTGGCCGATAGTTCAAGAATATTTCGAAATATCTGTTACTATTTCTGACACCGGGGGATATAGGTAGCTAGTTCGGAACGAGCTTTATTAATTTAATATCCTCTGTGATGACATAATGAGGTATATCTTTACAAGTATTTGATAAGTATTGGCAACTCGAAACTTGGAATCGCATGTCCGTTGTCGTGAGTTTTATTCAATTTGAAAAATGCAATCAAATTAAAAAAAAATAATAATAAAATAATCGAAGATATAGTGTAATATATCGGTATATTGAACCTAATCAACTTTACCGTTCTCGCGTTTTTTTTTTTTTTGTAGTTTTGTATTTTTTCGATTACATTTTTTGTTATGCAATTCCGAAAGTTACGATATTAATTATTCAGTTATTGGGAATAATATGGTTAAGTATTCCGATACGAACCATGCGCCCGTAGTTTGAATTCAAATAATTATTTAGTTTGTAAGTTTGTTGAAATTAAAACCGAGTCCAATTTGTATACTAACGAGAATAATAGAATATTATGTTCGAGTATTTACAAGTAGTGTAGGTAGCAATTATGTTGTTTAAAGACTCTGGAAACATTAAAACGCTATTTATCGTTATTACTATTGATAGTTTGTTAAATAGACGCCTCAAATAATTGCACATCAACACGCTGGCAAACGAAGATTTGTTGTGCAATCGAACGGGGAAGTTCAGACGGCGGTAATAACGTAGTCCCCGTCAACTATATTACAATATTGATTAATCGTTTACGGCCAGTTGACCCGGGAAAAAAATGGTGTTTTTTTTAAAAAGATAATTATTAAAAAAAAATAATAATAATGCTTACACGTTTACATTGATGTTAGATTTTGGACAAAACGAGAAATATATTGATTTTCCTACAATGCCTAATTTCGTGTCCTTTCAACAATTTTTCAATCGAAAATTATGTTCCAGTAAAACACTTTACAGGATCTTTTTGGTAGAACTTTCGATTAGCTGAGTGCATCGAGTAGGTCATTTTTTTACTCTCCTTATAGGATTTCCATCATAAATGGGAAAAACTGACAATTGTTCGTATTTATTTGATATCTGCGTTACGTTAACAACAACGAAAATAAATACTGCTCTAGTAATAATGCGCTGCACAGAATCGTTTTTCATTAACAGCAATTTATCGTCGCATACACATGACCTCGATTTTATTAATTTGCATATCATCCCGAACAATATTCTCCCTGTAAAACAATGGCACGTCCATCAACAAAATCAGCTATTTTTTTTTTTTTTTTTTTAATTTTTTTTCGCGCCCTGTCTTCCGCGCCCG